TTTGCTCATTTCTTTAATGTTCAACTGTAATGTAGTAGGAAGAGTGATAATGTTTTACTGTTTTGTAAATTTGCTTAATGTTTGGCTTTATGGAGAAGGGCTGGCTCTCCATACGTCTGTATTCCATTTATTGCAAAATGCTCTTGGTTAAAGTACATGAAAAGAATCTAACCTCACACTGGAGATGTGTTTTAACCTTTTCCCATAATTGTGGATATTCTTGTTTGATACTACAGTAAAACTTGATAAGCATTGGTTTCTTGGAAGTACTCTTTTGCATTACAGCCTATTGGTCTACTTTGAACTTGAATCCTGGCATAATTTTGTAATGCGATGTACCTAATATTAGAAAAATACTGATTTATTCAGTTACATAAATATTTCAAATTTTAATGCATTTTATTATACAAAATTAAAAACCACATCTTAATATCTGTCACTGGTCTCATTAGAAAATGTCTGGGAACATTCACCTGTCCAATGCTATTTCAAGAAAAGTTCATATCCCAAGAAAAAAGTGTCTCATTTCTGTTTGCAGCACGGTTATAAGAATTGTTTTTCTTGAAATAACCACTCTACTTCAGAATGCAGCAGACATACTTTATGTATATATTTTATGTTATTAAATAGAATATTTAAAATGACGTACCCAAGGATAGTGATTTAATAACACTGATATTCTTTACATCTTCTTCGAGATATTCATAATTGCATGTGAAGAATACAATGATTTCATCGCAGGCCTGCAAAGCAGAAGATTGCGGTTTGATTCCCAATCAGGGCACATGCCTGGGTTGCAGGCCAGTTCCCAGCAGGGGATGTACCAGAAGCAACCATAAATTGATTTCTCTCCCTCTCTCCTTCCCGTCCTGTCTAAAAAAATAGATGAATAAAATCTTAAAAAAAAAAAAAAGAATACAATGATTTCTAGTAGGAATTGAATGCAAATGCCTTTTTAAAAATATTTTATTTATTTATTTTTTAGAGGGGAAGGGAAGGAGAAAGAGGGAGAGAAACATCAATATGTGGTTGCCTCTCATGCAGCCCCTATTAGGGGCACAACTTGGCTTGCAACTCCAAGCATGTGCCCTGACTGGGAATCGAACTGACAACCCTTTGGTTTGCAGATTTGTGCTCAATCCACTGAACTGCAGCAGCCGTGGTTCTGAATGGAAGTGCTTTTAATTTGTGCCAAACACCAGGATTTTTGCCCATATTATTGCTTTTGCACCATCCAGCAATGTCAAGAGTGAAAAGTCATTAGATTATAATATTGACTGTTATATTGGTAATAAGACATGAAATAGTTTTAAATATGTACACTCCATGAAAGGTTGTTGGGAACTCAGAGTACTCCATGAATCACACTTCCAAGAACTGCTCTTTGAATGGAGTGCTGCTTTGATATGTACTTCTGAAAAATCAGTTACACTTTGCTTACTTTGTTGGTCACTGAGAATTTAAGCTTGCTTTAGTGATAAGCTGTCAGGAATACCAGTGCATAACTTATAATAGAAAGTCACACCTTATAAATATTGTAAGATTAAGTTTTAAAATCTTGTCTTTTGTTTTTGTTGGAATTCCTAAAACATGAAAGTACCTTATGAATGTGAAAATTTCACAGAGTTTTATTTTGGCAGAATTTATAGGTCAGCTCAACCATTTTCTATACGTATGACCTTGAGTAGGTTATTAAACAGCTCTGTGCCTCAAAATTATGATCCTAAAATAAAATGACAATCTACTTACAGGATTGCTATGAGGATTGATTGAGTTAAAAACTTTTCATTATAACTTTTACTGTTTTCATTGCATCATTGTCTTTGGAGATTTTGTTTACGTATAGGTTATTTCATCTTAAACAAGTCTTAATTTTTGCTAATTACTAAAACTTGTATTATAAAATTATCACATACATATTATGTACCACTTCTAATTTAAAATTATTAATTCATAGAAGTGAAGGCCTTTTGTATTACTTAAATTATAGTGAAATTCTTCAAGTAATTGATATTTGATATATCAAATTACAGTAATAAGTGCTATGTTAATTTCCATTGATAATACTACCCTTAAGTAAAAGCTCTGTGTGTTTTATTTTACTAGAAGTATATAGTATTGGATTTATGGAAAGAAACAGTAACCTTAAGACATGACTAATTAGGTGAAAACTTCTTTTGCTCCTTCTGAAATAATTTTAAAATGATCTGTTATCTAATTATTCTTTTTTAAAGATTTTGTTTATTTATTTTTAGAGGGGAAAGGAGGGAGAAAGGCAGGGAGAGAAACATCAATGTGTGGTTGCCTCTTGTGCATCCCCTACTCGGAACCTGACCCATAACCCATTCATGTGCCCTTACTGGGAATCTAACGTGACCCTTTGGTTCACAGATCTGCACACAATCCACTGAGCCACACCAGTCGGGGCTAATTATTATTTTCTTAAATTATGAGTAAAGTTGTGTAAAATAATGATGTTCTTTAAGGAAATGTCAACATTAATAAATTAATTGAATATATGTAGATTCAGTGAAATATGCTATACTATGCCATAGAAATTGTTACTTTAATATAGTGATAGTCTACATTAGCATGGATAATTGTAAGGCATTCTGATTATTTCACTTAAAGAAATATATTTTAGAACTGGAATATCTGGAAGGGAAAATATAGCAGCTGTTGAATAATTTACTTAAAACTATGGATCTCTTCAGTATGTTAATGTTTTCCACAAAATTCTGTTCATGAAGAAAATGGAGTAGTAGAATAATTTAAAAATAATATTTAAGAAGTGCTTAGCCTTATGAATGATAAAGCTAAACATTGTTCAGAAAGTCACAGGTATAGGTAAAGCTGAAGTTATAAAAAGACAGTAGAAATGGTAGTGTCTCCTGTGTTCCCAACAAGTGAAGCAGGCATTCAGTTAGGTGTTAGGTTAGTTGTATGAGGGAGATTTGAAAATTGAAGTTCCAAGCAGTGAGACTATAGTAATTAGTCTCCTGTTAATTGTTAGGTATTGCATTTCTAATCTTTCATAGTTAAGGCAAACACAAAAGTAAAAATATAACTTAAACCCTTGTTTTTCCCCTAGGATGTCATTATTATAAAATCTACACATTAAATATCTTATATAAGTAATACCTGGAAGATTTTGAATATACTGATGCTGTCTGTCCACATTCTATCAGTATGTTTGGACATGTGAGCTTGTTTGATTTATTGGTAATTGTGCTAATAGGTGTGATTGTATAATAGTATTTTCCATATAATTGGAAAATTATATAATTATAAAATACTCTATTTTTTGCTGGTCAGTATTAGTATCCATTAATAACCAAAAGTTTTTTTTTTAGATTTTAAATTTTAATTTAATTTATCTTTAGAGGGAAAGGGAAAGAGAGAGAGAGAAAATTATCAATGTATGGCTGCCTCCCATGCATTCCCTGTTGGGAACCGGCCTGCAACCCAGGCATGTGCCCTGTCTGGGAATTGAACCACGATCCTCCGGTTCGCAGGCCCTCACTCAGTCCATTGAGCTACACCAGCCAGGGCCCAAAAGTTTTTATTTTTAAAGATTTTATTTATTTTTAGAGGGAGTGGAAGGGGTGAGAGAGAGAGAGAGAGAAAAGCAGCAATGTGTGGCTGCCTCTTGCATGCATGCCCCCTACTGGAGATCTGTCCTACAACCCAGGCATGTACCCTTACTGGGAATCCAACTGGCAACTGTTTGGTTTGCAGCCCGTGCCCAGTTCACTGAGACACACCAACCAGGGCTAATAATCAGAAGTTTTATGGACATTTATTTTTAGGAAAGTTAGAAAATAGCTTTGAAAAAGTTTTGGCATTTAAGCTTTCTAAATAATGTAGTATTTTTTCAAGATGCTGTGCAAGTTGGTATTTTTCGTGTTCTGTGCTTAAAGGTTTCCTTTTGAGGAATCTCCGTTAGGTTAGATAGGCAGTTATTTGTTTAGTGCCATTTATGTGTCACATACTTGTATTTCCTTTATTTATAGCTTATAGGTGCTTTTCACTGGTATTTTGTATTATTAACTGGTATTTTAAACAAACACTAATAAAATGGCTTTTAACAATAGAAACATGCCTTCTTTAGATTCAGGCATTGCTACTTTTGTCTGAAAATGTCTTAGGATCACTGCATTTAACACATTTGTCTGATATTGGGAAAGATGATCAAATAATAATGCAAATTGCAGCTATTATATGTTGAGTCATTTCACCAAGAGAATTCATTTAAGTTAATTCTTTATGTTTGGTGTTACTAAATTTAGAGTTTCTTAGGAAGCAGTTTCTGTACTGAAATTAAGATATTTTTTACACTTGCGTGACTTTTTGTGTTGTAGTTAAAACCTCAAGGAGCATTTTGTTTCAGAACTTGTCAACTGTGTAAGAGAAGGAATGTTTAATAATTTCTTGTGTGTAGTGGAGATGTTTATGGTAGACCTATAGGTCCTTGGTAAAATAATTCTTCAGTACTTGAATAAAAATGCAAGCATGAATTACAATATTTCAAAAGTGAAAAGAATCTGTAACTTTTTAGCTTAACATCTCACAACTGTTTGTGCTGTATGTTTGAATGCATTTGAATATTAAAGTGGTAACAGTCATTTCTGTTTTAAGAGGTCAGTGACCTGGGAGGAAAAAATCATTGGCCTTGGTGGTTATTAGTTGTTTTTTTTAATCCAATCCTCTGTCTTTGATCTATTCGAATAAAAACATTTAAAATAATTCTGTGATTAATTTTATGTAATCTGATTCATTTATAATCTAGCATTATAAACTGGGTGCTTTGAATATTGTACTAGGATATTAAACCAGGGAAATCCAAGTTTCTTTTCAGTGTTCTATTAAGTAAAAGGTGTTGGAAAATTGAAGTTTTTTTAATGGAAAGTGATGTCCGAATTTATTCTTTTCTTTTTGATTTTAGATGGGAAATGTGATAAGATCTATAGGTTGACTGTGACAACTATGTTTGCTTACAGAGAGAACAGGAAATGAGAATGGGTGATATGGGTCCCCGTGGAGCAATAAACATGGGAGGTAGGGATTGGAAGCAAAAGGCTTCTATAACTTACTTGTAATTCTTTGGGGAACTGTACATGCTGTTTGTGGTATCTACATGTCAATAACAAACAATTTGGAATCAACATTTTAATCGTGAAATTTCTTGCATTTATTAAATTGAAAAATACAAGTATATAAAAAGATATGGCTAGGAAGAACTTTTTCATTTTGTTTAACTGAAGGCTAAAAGATGTACTAACTTTAAATAGAGTTAATGAAAGAAACCTGTAACCAGGTTTTGATAAAATCCTGAACTTGTTCAGTAATTGTGTCATGTAATATTTAAGAATTAAATTTCACACCTTCAAATTGGCTTTTTTAGCTTGGAGGTTTAGTACTTTTTGGGTTATAGTGTTTCTAAAGTTTTGGGGAATATTTTATAAATTTCTATTTTAAGGTGACATTTTGTGTAACTGTGTAGCTAATTTTATTTGTTTTACTAAGTGTCTATAACATTTTGCCTAACCTATAGTGTTGTGCACGGAAATGTGCTGTTTGGAGACATTTATGACTTGTCAAGGAAATGAGTTGTGCTTTGTACATTTAGGTTAATGCATATCTTTAGTATCGATACAAAGTTGTTTTTTTTTTTTTTTTTTAAGAAAATGCCTATATTATTAACATCTGTAATATTGATTGGCTTATAACCAGGTTGTCAGGGAAACAGCACCAAGTAAATAAGCTAGGGAAAAATAAGTGTGGAAATTTTTTGTTATTAAATTTGAAATTTCACACACTTTAAAAAGTTAAATAACTAAATTTTATATATTCCTTTTACATTGTCCCACTGAAGTTGTCAGGACTTTAAAATCTTTACAGAACTGAAATGTAAATATTGTAAAGAATACATTACCTTAACATTTCCTTACGCATAATAACATGCTCACCAATTAAGAAAATCCAGATAGGACTTAGGGTACATAGTGTATGGAATAAAAAGTCTTAAAAGCATCTAATGTGTGGAACGAGTATTTTTCATGATCATCTTCCTTTTTTATGACAGTTTCTTTGCTACTGTCATTTAAATGGTCTAAAATAATTTATTGATTCATGTGGTCACTTTCAGTTATCTACCAAAGTAGTAATTAAGCATCTCGGGTATGCAAAATAAGCAGGAAACATGGCCCTTAGTCATAAACAACTTCATTGTTAGTTAATGGGTACACAAAATGATCAGTTGAGTAAATAAGTTATAAAAATTATAAATTATTAAATACAGTGATATATATAATAAATACAAGTAGTTCAGTATGTCTTCTTCAAAGTAAATTTTGGAATGGTCCATGTGGTTTTAAAGATGTGTGAAGTCATTATGGATTGTAGGTCATTTGAAATGCTGTTCTAATTATTAGATCGCCATTAACATCAGAATTAAACTCATGTGTTTCTGATGTTGCAAGATACCCAGAAACATTCTGGCTGACTGCTTGATTAGGAATTTTACCAGAAGAAATATGAGACTATATGCCTTTAGATTACTTAGTTAGTAAGGAATTTAAGACAATTAAAAGTTCCATAGCATTTGTTTACCAGAGAACCATATTTACATTCAAGCATTTACTTAATTCCCTGAAGTCTGATTCATGTAATTTTTTCCTCTTTATGCTTTATTCAGCCTGAGACTTTATCCTAGTGATTTACTGGTGTTATGTATCTTTAAGCAGTTGAGTGTTGCTGGTGACTCAGTAAATTGTCAAATCCTGTCAAGTTGCATTGATAGAATGTGTCATTAGATTTCCTGGTGTATTGCTAATGTGCATACCAAGTGAAACATAGGTTATAAAACTTTTTTTTTTTTTTAGGGAAACATAATTCTAACATTCTTTAGAATAGATCTTTAAATTTAATTATAACTGTGGTAGAAGATGTAATTCCTAGACTGTATTTCAGCTATTGATAGTGGGAAATATTTTTGTTATTTTACTATATCCATAGAATCTCAACAAGGTAGATGTTGACAGGTATGTCCTATTTAAAAAAAAAACTAAAGAAAATGAAAAACATAATTCTTGATCTGTTTTTAGGAAAGTTGAGGTAAGATTGATTCTTCCTAGATAGTGTCTTCACTCTTTCTCATTTCCATTGTGAGAGATGTTCTGGAAGTCTGTTAACATTTATATTTATAGTTATACTAGGGGAACATAAATGTTCTTTGATAGTTAACCGTTATAGATTTATCAGCAAGAACGTTTAGGGACTTAGGAAATAATTTCTTCCATATGAGGTTGTCAGGTTACTAGGGAATGGCTTCAGAAAGAGCGGTGTTTTGCTAGATACTGACAGGGAGTAAGACTTTTTCTCTTCTCAGCTACTCCCTGAACTTAGCCGTGTATGAAGTTCAGCTGCATAAGATACTGTGTAGAGTTGTGGGTTTCAGTGAAAACTTGAACTCCTGTTATAATGTGTTTTTGAGAAATTGAGTTCAGACTCATAAAATTTACCTACATAATGAAATACTAGAACAGCACTCAAAGTTGAAGTCAATCTTTGTTATAAATTTTTAATGCTAAACAAGTATATGAAGAGTTTAAAAATGAAAAATTTGAGGAAGGTACCTAAAAATGCCGTATTTGAGGCCATTATAAGTGTAGTATTATATTATAGCTCAAACACTATTGCAATTGATATGAGGCCAGGGGTATGTCTTTCTGATGAAGAAATTGGAAGTATACCTGCTTGTTACCGTTTGCAGAATTTTAGCATGGCGAAAAATCTAAAAATCAAGTGTATTAATACTTACTTGTATTTGGTTGCAGTTTTTAAAAATAAGCTTTGTCATGTTGAGTCATTTCAAATTTTTTTGGTTTAGATTACATATTTCTACATAAAGTACCTCCTATAATTATGGGAGAAGTTCTATAATTTTATAAAAGCTACAGTGAACTTTATATATTAGAGGGAATGGATTCTCCTCTCACAACTTAATGCAATTTACATGCTAATATTTTTACTCATAACTTTAAGAAAATCTATTGTCATTAAACTGGTAGAGTTTAGTCACCATTGTAAAGGGAGTACTTGGTTAAAAAGCTGATGTAGCAAATAATACCGATTTTTTAAAAATTCTAAAGCTTTTACAGTCTCCAATGTCCTCAAATTATAGTTGTCTCATTTGTTTTATATACTTTTGTTTTTGGAATGAAAATTCTATTCGTGTAGGTAACAGTTTGTTAATAGAGTAGATAATTGAGTGTCCCATTTTCACGGAAGGAAAATTATTTTGATGATGTGGTCTGTATACATTGCATAAGTGTTGTTACATTTTTAATGCTTACTGAACTAAGATAGGACAGCTCTAAGTATAGATTGTTTTGCATAGATGCGTTTAGCCCAGCACCTGCTGGTAACCAAGGTCCTCCTCCAATGATGGGTATGAATATGAACAACAGAGGAACTATACCTGGCCCACCAATGGGTCCTGGTCCTGCCATGGGACCAGAAGGAGCAGCAAATATGGGAACTCCAATGATGCCAGATAATGGAGCAGTGGTAATGTATCATAAAAATTACTTTGATTATATTAAATAATATTTACTCTGCCCCAAAGGTAACTTCACACTTAATATAACTTGGTATCATTTGTTTGGCACTAAAGTTCAATGTGAAATGAGTAAAAAGTAATTTTGTGATGTTATATGTTGATATGAGGCAATTTTTAAGTATCTCAAGAGAGTTATAATTACCATCCATGGAATGCTTTATACTTAAGTGTGTAGCAAACACGTGTTAATTACAGTTATTTTTATACTGCTTTGAATTTTTATCCACCTCTTTCTTAGTAGCATTCAAGTGTTTTTTGATTGTGTTCCATTTCTGTGTGGACTCCTTATCTTTGGTAGGGGGGACAAAACTCCAGTATATGTTAAAAACAGTTGTTAGTAAACATTTCTTAAGGAAATGATCACTTGTTAATGTCAGAGAATTTATTTTAACTATAAAATAATTTACATTATAGTTTAAAATTTTCATTCTTATATTTGTAGAATTACTAATTACATTTATTACTAAGTTAAAAGTTGACAATTTTATGTGTTGGTTTCAGAGTGTGAAGATATCTTTGTGTGCATTAAATATTATAAAAAATGCTTTTCAGTAGTAATGTTTATATTTGAGTTTCAGTAGCAAGATCTGATACCTGTTTCATTTCCCTGAAATCTATGACTGTTTAAGTGAAGCTTTGTATTGGTAAAACATTTTCTAATTTGGCTTTTGTTAATGGTTGTTCTAAATACCATTTAAAAAAGGAAGATTGGTTGATTATATATTTTGAAAAGGGTTAAGTTTTGGAACTACTGCAGAAGTCTTAAGGCGCCATTGTTGTCAGAAAGAAAAAGCACTGCAAATAAAACTCAGTCATGCCATTAGCTGTAACTCCTTCCTGGTCTCAGAGATGTTAAAAGTGAATGTGTTTCTTAGAATTGATGGATATAGTATTTTAGCATTTTAAAATTTACTTAATTTAAATGCTATATTTTATGAATTTGGAAAAATTAGACATACTAACTTTATTTTAATGAGTGTACAGAGAGGTAAAAGGGCAGTGCTGTCATATCTACTGTGACAGATGGCGCATTATGTATACAGTGTACTGTTTCTTTTAATGGAGGCTTAATTTTATAGTAAAATGTCTGAAAGTGAGTAAAAACTTAAACCACTTTGGTTAAAGTTTTGTTTAGCAATATAATCATCTGTAGTAATTTTGAAGTACTATTCAGTGGCCCATTTTTCCACCCCTACCTCCAAAATTGTGAATTTATTTAAATATTGTCTTTGGTCTTTTTCACAATGGTGTTTTACTACTATACAAAAGGAGTCTATTCAGTTTTTGAGATTAGTATATGTGGTTATTAGTATGAAATCTTTCCAAGTATGAGATTCAGATGTTTAATTATGCTGTTAGCATAGTAGTACATATTAATAAACTGTTGATTTTTAAAAAACTATTATTTTCTGAATAATAGTTTTTCTGCAAAATATCTCAAAAGATTTCATAATAACTGTTTACTTTCTGAGTGTAGTGCTGTTCCCCCATTTTAACTCTGATTTTTAAAAAGTATCTTTTAATACACCACAGTTAATGCAAACTTTTATAAAAAGATACCAGAATAGTACTATAATGTAGATTAGGTTTAAGATGGCATTTGCTTTAAAAAATCAGTTCATTCTTTATGAAATTGGGACATAGTAGCAATATGTAACTCTTCAGATGCTTTTTTAAATAATAGTAACTAATTAAATTGCTCCTTTCTTCCTTCTATGTATGATCCTGATTCTGCTGGACTTTCTGCTGAACTTCATGACATCACCACTTGGGATTTTGCCAATTTTTCTTGTCACTTATATTTGGCGTGTTCCAAATGGACTTCATATTTATTGTATTGTATTCTAGCCCAATGATAGATTTCCGCAAGGACCACCATCTCAGATGGGATCACCTATGGGTAGTAGAACAGGTTCTGAAACCCCTCAAGCACCCATTAGTGGTGTAGGTCCTGTTAGTGGTGGTCCTGGTGGTTTTGGTAGAGGAAGCCAAGGGGGCAATTTCGAAGGCCCTAATAAGCGTCGTAGATATTAAACATTTCTAAATCATAACTAGAGAAAAAAATTCAGTGGTATGCCTTTACACTTTAACCTGTTACCTTGGAAGAAATGGTTTTATTGTTAATGTATGTAGAATTTAAAGTATTTCTTTTGTAAAACTTAAGGTTTTTGTATTTTTCTTTATTCATGAGCTTTGTAGATTAGAATGGCAATGCTTATGCCCATCATTGTGAATGTTAAAATGTGTTTGTGACCTTAGATAAATAAATATGCCATAGTACTGTGAAATCTATGTAGTTAACTTCAATAAAGAAATAATTTTGAATAATTTACAAATGTTACTAGTGGTATTCTCTTACAGTTTTAATAAACTTTGCTGTATCAATAGTACTTGAGTTGTTTTAACTAATCCCAGCCATTTAAAAATGAAAATAGACTTTCTGCTTTTTAGTTTGTCCAAGTAGCACTGAAGATAGCGTAGTGAAAGCTAATGTCAGTAAGCCTTGGGCCTGGGAGTTTACATCTGTTTAAACCATTAATGTTCTGTGAAACGAGAGTTGCTGTCAAATTTCAAATAGATTCTGAATATTCAGATATTCTGAGAGGAATATTAAGGATATCTATGTCCTGTGCTGATTTTTTTTCAAATAAATCTTTCAATCTTGGAAAAAAAACAAACTGTTTGAAGGCAAATCTCTTGCTTATGAAATAGTGTCTATTTTTAATATTATCTGCCATTTATTTGGTGTCAATATCTAAATCTTACCTTTTAAGTTTCTTTAAAATCAAACGATACTGTTAGATTGGGTGTTAAGTGAGAATTTGCTGTGATGTAGAAGAAATTAGACATTTCTTGAGAAGGTTGGTTTCTAGAAGTATTAAAGATGGCTTGACTCTGCAGTGTTGCCAGTATTTTCCAATAGTTGGTAAGTCCTCTAGTAAAACTTGTCTGACAGGCTAGCTTTGTTTGTCTCCAAGGAATACAAGTTCAAGAGGTGATTTCAAAAAATGGTATTAACTTGAGAATGACTAGGGTTATTGGAATCATATTACATCGTAATTCTACTATCGAGTATGTATTTTGAAATGTGATTTTCAGTACTGGGAAGAGACAGATTTTATGACATTATAAATTTTATTCCAAAACAAAGTCCTTTCAATATTTACAATTTTGGTTGTTAGCCATGTTTAATTTAAAATTATATTTAAAGGAATTAAATATCTAAACTATAAATCTAACATCAGACATTGATCACAGCATAGTTATTGCTCATAGAATGTTTCAGTGTTACTATATCATGCTTTTAGCATTTTTTTGAAGAATAATGTGCTATTTTAAAATGAACAGTATGGAAATATCATTATTTGTGAATGGCTTCTATTTTTGCTGAAAGGCATACTTTGGGAAGAAATCAGTTTGTTTAATAATTTAAAATCTTGCATAAAACCAGTTGTGTGTAAAGTGTAATTGGGATGACTTCTTTTGTACCAGTTTAATTTTCCTTACGTATTATTTCATGGTTTGGTTTGTTTTTTTAAAGATATAACAGTATGGATGGAATTATTTTCTAAAATTTACATCGTTTATAGGCTTTTGTTTTTGGCAGTCATGGAGATTGTAAATTAGTAGTCAAAGACTTTCTCATTGCATGTTCTATAAGTATGAATTAGCAGGGAGTGGGGGTTGTTTTAATTTGGACTTTAATTACAGTACAAGGAATTTTAACATTAGCTATAATTTTTAAGTACTATCTAGTGCACCTGAATATACCTTCCCCATCATCTATATTTTTGTTCACATAATTCTTAAGTAATTTTTAGCTTTGTGTTTTGCTTCAAAGCTGGATTGAAATTGGGAGGAACTTTATCCTTTAATGTCAGTACCAAGCTATGTTTGGCCAAGGCTATGGAATTCTGTTAAGATTCATTCAAGAACTTTTGCAAGCCAGTGCACAAAGATGTGCTAATCTGCTGAACATTCTAGTGTCCAACTCAGCTCTGGCTCCAGGAAAAGAGTTCTACACAGCTTTTCCCCTGCATCAAGAAAATCTTTGTTCCAGTACTTACCAAGTTTACCCTGGGAACAGTCAGCTTCTGGGAGACAGTCAAATGGAGCATCTGTGAACTTATAGCTGTTCAGTTTTTAGTGTTAACATAGCACTAAACACCTCTGTGGCTGGTTCAGTCGATATTTTTTTCTTGTGAATTAGTATACTAAGGAATATATTTGAATGTCATTTGCTTAAAAGTGGTAGATACAAAAATAAAAAATTTAGCTTTCCTATGTAAGTGTAAGTTTGTCATATATGCTACCATAGTTCTTTCCATGAAAAGGTAATGAAACGATTTTAGTATAATACCACAATATTATGTTTCTTATTGTGACATGATTTGAAACACTGAGTTGAAAGTCTACAGGATTTAGGTTTCATATGCTATTAATATGTAATTAACATGCATAAAATAAAGGAACATTCTTTTTCTAATTATTTTATTTTAGCAGTGTACTTTGTCAGAATTGCCCTGTTTTTGTTTATTTTAAAAATAAATGCATTTTCTTGATAGATCCAGTTTTTCTTTGAAGGATTTTTTTCACTTGTATTTCATAAAGCTTAATTTGTTATTCTTCTTTGAGATTTTGGATTTTTCTGTTAGATTAGTGCTGACCATTCAGCTGAAGATATTAAATATTTGTTTGTTAATTCTACTTACAGTATTTGTAATGTTAGGGAAGAAATGATCATTTTAGTTGGAATGGCAGTTTAAAGAAAATAGAAATTATCAGTAAGGACTAACTAAAATGGATCTTGCTCAATTACTAATTGAAATTATACTTTTATGTTTTAATTATACTTGAATATTTCAGTAACTTGGTGTTTATGTGTAAAGTCTGCAATAATTGCTATATGTGAGTATTAATGATTAACAGTCACAAATTAAAAATGGGGGTTAGGTTGATAATTACAATCTAGATTCTGAATGAAGGAACAAACCTGTATGGTTGAAAGGAAATATTTTATGAAAGAATGTGGTGGACTGTATGTTTAAACTTTTATTTATTTTTCTTTTAAGATTTTATGTATTTTTAGACAGAGGAGAAGGGGGAGAAAAAGAGGGAAAGAAGCATCAATGTGTGCTTGCGTCTCACGTGCCCCCTACCATGAACCTGGCCTGCAACCCAGGCATGTGCCCTGACTGGGAATTGAACCGGCAACTCTTTGGTTTGCAGGCCAGCACTCAGTCCACTGAGCCACAGCAGCAAGAGGTGTATGTTTAAATCTTTAAAAGATTTGAAATTTAGTGTTAAATGGGACTAGTCAGAAATAGAAGGAAATTTTTTTTTAATAACAGGAAATTTCTTAGGGAGTTCTTTGGTGTTTAAATGTTTTGTGTGTGTGTGAAAAGTTTTTTTACAATAGCTAATGTGTTAAAATATATTTTTGAAATTTGAGAGGATGATGATGATTTAGAAAGTCTGACTTTTTGTTTTCAAGAATAAACTGGTGAACACCCACATACCTAACTCCTAGATGTTGTTGTAAATGTTTTTTTGTGTTTACTTCATAGACAGATATTTTTAGATAAGGGCTAATTTTGGTGGGTTGAGGGCAGAGAAACTTCTTTAAGTTTCCAGTGGTATGATCCAGTATGGGTTTATTTCGTGTTAAATAAATCATGATTAAATGAATAGAGTACTTTTGTATTTAACAAGAACAGTATTTCCTTTCCACCGTCTTTCATTCTAATTTAAAAAAGAAAACAATTTCCATATGCTCACTTTATGTATTGCTTTTCCCAGTTGTGTAAAATAAGTAGGCTTTACAGTTTCCCAGTTGAATATGGTCAAGTAATTTATGGAATGTCACTTTGGGGAAATAATAAACAGTTTCCTTATTTTATAGTATCTGGTCTTTAAAATCAGGATTTATGCATTATATATTGTATTAGCTCTTATTTCTTTCTGTCAATAGCACTGCCTTTTAAATGTAAGAAAAATAGTTTTTAATTTTGGTTTCTTTTGTTATAATGGTATTAATGATTGCAGTTTGAATCTTACAAGACTGAATATTTAAAGGCTCATTAAGAGTGCTGTGTTGTTATTTTAGGAGTATTTTTTTAAACACTTTCCTTTAAAACCATGTTTAAATTATAAATATGTAAGGGGGTTTTTTTGGTTGAAATTTCTTTCTCAATAATACTTTTATTTATCTGGTAGTCTATACTTTCTTTGTTTTGTGATATTTAACTTTCCTTTTCAATAAGAGAAGCCTGTATTTTTCTAGATGTAAGATACTGCAGCCCTTAAAGTAACTTAGCTAGCCAAGTTCATAATTTCTAGTTTAAAAATTCCTTTTCAAGTGTATTCCTTTATTGCTCAAATTACTGTTATCTCTACCAACTGCTTCTTCTGCAGCAGTGTATTTTGTTGACTTGTTTACTTAAAAAATTATTAAGTTATCATTTTTCTTTCTCTCTGAGTTAAAACACCGAATTTTAGAAGGGATGTTACTCTGCTTTTACATGTAAATAAAAATTTTAGTTCTTTTTTATAGACTATAGTCACCTATATTTCATTTGTGGTACTTCTGTCTCAAAATTAAGACTAAAAATTTTAGGTTTAGGTAGAATTAAGAAGTATTTTTAGGTGGTAGGGGGTTGGGTGGAAGTGGGTATAAGGGGAATAAATGGTAATGGGAAAATACAGTAAAAATCTCTTAAAGTAAGAAAGTAAACTTCATTTGAATATATGACTTTTTTATGTTGAATTTTCCTTATTTTTAAAAAATTGTAATTAGTAATAAATGTCTTTCGTGTTCATTAAATACAAGGGCCCTGCATTGCATCAATAATAGTAATGTAAATGGACTTTATATTTTTTAAATGGTCTGTATAAGCAAGGGTATCATTGGTGGTGTTGAAGACTTTGAATTGATGTTTATATCTAAAAGTTGTTTCTAGCTTGGAAATTTCCATCGTAGATTCTACTTCACATTTCTATTATAGATTATACATCTCAGTGTGAGGTAGTATCAAACTCTTAAATGAGTAACCACAGTGGTTTATTATATCTTTGACTGGATTTTTAAGACATAGTCTTCCTTGTTCTATCTTTTATGCAAATTGTCACCTAGCTGGATTTTAGTGAATTTGAAGTTTTAGGTATATTTTTGGGTTTTGGAAGAGCTGTGTAAATAAATATACTCCTATCATTATGAATTACCTACATTTTTGTTTTCGTATGCGTAATTAAATTTATTTTCTTTAAATTATTCATGTTATGGGAAAATAGAGAGCCACTTATTGTGTAGTTTGCTAGAATAATTTCAGTTAATTTTTTATCAGGGTATTTGCAGATTATTAGATAATGTCAATTTGTATCAAACATTGCTTAGTTTACAAATCTTTAATGTCATAAGAAAGTAAATCGCATGTATCATGATTCTCTTAATAGTAATTTCTGATCTTTTTAGTTTGGGACATAATAGTGACTTGCTGAATAATTATTTAGTCTATAATCCTGATTGTTTGAGTTGGTTAGAATATTTGAATGTTCAAGGACTTAGAATGTTTTAAACATTAGGATCATTATGGAGCCAACAGTTGAGCAAACTGAGCCATAGTAATTGGAGTAATTGTCTACAAAGTGATACTTTCTCAGCCATATAGAATTTATGGGGGGAGACACTCTTTATTCACTGTACCAATATGTATCAAAATGTCCTGATGTGTACTGGACCCTTTCCTAGGGCTGATGTAACAGCAGTGGGAGAATAAAATCCCTGCTGTAAGATAAAAGGCCTTGGACATCTTTAGTTTGTTGGTTCTTGCTGAGTCAGAATCCCCTGGAGAGCTCATTCAAACAAGACTTCTGGGCTGCACCCCAGAGTGTCCACTTAGTGGGTCCCAAGAGGATAGTAAATAATATATATGCTTTATAATAATATATATATATATACACACACACTGATGTCGGGTTTCGGGACCTTACTTTGAGAACCTCTTGTTCTAAAGTGTTACTCAAAAGAGACACAGTAGTGTTCTTGGTTGGTTGTTGTTGTTGGCCGCACAATGGCTATCTTGGTACACTTCGTGTTGTCTAGGATCCATGGTCAATCCAAACCTCACCAGACTCTTCCAGCTACCACCACCTGAGAAGTACTCCACAAACTTCATTATTTTTGACTAGGCAGTATCATTGCCATTGAGTGTTAAATCTTGTACATAATATGTATTTTTAAGCTTTTTTGAACTAAAATTTTGTGTTCACAAGCCTAGTTAATTCAAGTGAGGAGGTGGTAATAGAAAAGTACAATTTGAAAATTTTGTAAAGTGTTTTTTACTTAACCAGTTTTTTATTATTCATTCCAGTATGAGAAATGAAATGATGTACTAATCTGTATCTGTATTGGTATGTTTGAACATGCTTATTATGCCTGCTGGATGAAGATGCTAGAAAACTGTCATTGTCTTTGCCTACCATCCTGGAAAATGAGTAGACTGACCCCATTTTAATGGATTAAATTACAGCCTGACCTTTATTTGTGTGAGCTTGTCTTTGCCTTTTTTTCTTTCTTGTTTTTTAATACTCCCCCGACATTATGTTTCTTGATGATTTTAGGGAGAATAAGGGAAAGGGAAATATCAATATGAGTGAGAAACATAGGTTGGCTGCCTCCTGAACTTGCCTAAGCTGGGATTGAATCTGCATCCTAGGTATGTGCCTTGACTGGGAATCAAACCCACAATATTTTGTTATATAGGACGACGTTCCAAATAACTGGGCCACCTGGCTGTGGCCTGAAGGAGACTTAATTAACCTATTTTTTAATGGAGGAATTTTCATGCAGGCTAATCAGAGTAAAACTGTTTCCTCTATTAAAAAAATGTTTGTGGATATGTGCCTTGAAAGATTTGGGTTTTTTTTTCTGTTTAGTTGATTACTAATTTTCTGAAATCAGGAAATTATTTTAACTCCTTTGACTACAATGAGTTATATCTCTATAGAAGTCAGTGCTTAACTTTAATTTTTGGTACATGAATGCAGAAAAATTAAAATTTTGGCAAAGGAAACTGTCATGAGTTTGTTTCCCAGTTTATACATTACTGATGTTTTCTAATTCAGATTATAGTTTTTTCTGTGTTTCCTGCTTTCCCCTTCCATATTTTCACAGCTCCACTTTTATCCTAGTAGAAAAACAAAAAGTTTTAGATTAATACATGAACTATCGTCACTATCTACATTTATGCTTGAATATTATAACTAGGAAAACTGAAAAGACCTTTTTTGTTTCTTAGAGATATATATACCTGGAACCATTAGATCTTTTAAAATATCAATAAGAGGAAGATTATAAGTTTATTGGAAATGATGTGCTCCAAATTTGGGGAGTGGGAAGTGTAATATAGGAAAGGTATATTCAGATTCTTTCACCTCTATACTGCTGTATTTTGCTGTGTATAATGTGCACTTTCTTGCCCAAATTATTGAGGGGAAAAAGAGGGCGCACATTATACATG